ACAGCATCACCCAACACAGCAGGCAACTCCCAGCTCCCCCACGCTGCTCCTTCTCACACCCCATCTGCTGGCTCTTCATGTCACACTCATAATGTGGGGTCCCTAGGGCTTGGTCCTCAGGTGCCATTTCTTCTCTATTGACATTCCCCTTGAGAACCCGTCCAGTGTCGTGGCTCTAAGTACCATCTACACACTGATGATGCCATTTCCTATCTCCAGCCCAGGCCCCATCTCCAGACTCCAAGATCCAACTGTCCTGTCAACACCTCCACTTGGATATCCAACTGGCATTTAACCTGAATGTGCCTTCAGCTGAACTGCTGACCCCCAGCATCGTGCTGCCCCATGCGGACTTCCATAGTCCACTGCGGTGACCTCACCTCTGGGCATCATGTCCTTCTCATAGGCCTTCATCCACACCAGCAGCTAACCTTGGCTCTACCTTCACAACTTAGGCAGAATCCGACTACTTCTCTGCAGTCCCAACACCAGTGTCAAGGTCTTCTCACCTGGATTATCAGATCCTCCAGTGGCCCCAGCCCCACTGAAGTCTATTCTGGCACTGACAGCAGCCAGAGGGACCCTTAAAAATGTACATCGGATCAAGTCACTTGACTCAAAGGCCTTCATGGGCTTCCTATTTCCAAGGCCCCATATCACCTCCACCCCATGACCTCTGACCTGGCCTTCTTCCTCTTCACTCGGGCTTCTGCAGCCACCCCAACCTCCCCTGTGTTCCTGGAACTTACCTGGCACAGCCTGCCCTCAGGGTCTTGAACCAGCTATGTGATGCTCCGTGGCTTCATCCAGGCCTTTGGTCACCTTCTCAGTGAGGTCATCTTATACCCCCGCCCAGCCCTCCCCTCTGTCCCAGCGCCCTGTGAGGAGCTACATCCTTACTTATTTCTGTACTGTGTCTCCCACGGTGAGAATGTCAGTGCTGTGACAGCAGGAGTTTGCCTGTCGGGCTTACTGCTCCATCCCCACAGCTTAGTCCACAGTAGGCACTTCACATGTTAACAGACTATACCAGATGAAGATCTATGAATGAACTCAGAGGAATCAGATTATCATTTGCAAAGGGAAGCTGACTAGTCTCCTGCCCCTCTTCCCAAACTCCTTAATATCCCCAGTGCCTTAAACTAAAGATGCATTCCAGCAGGGCTCCTGGTGGGCTCAGTCGGTGGAGCATGTGACTCTTGATCTCAAGGTTGTGGGTTCCAGCCCCATACCGGGTGTAGAGATTACTGAAAAATAAAATATATATATATATAAAGATGGATTCCAGCATGTCTGGAGATCTTAGTACAAAGTAAAACCCAGGGGCAAAGGCTTATATATCAAAGAAACTGTAAGACTTTTGTTACTTTACCTTGGTCACACTGTGGAGAATATGTGTGAGGAAAGATTGAGGTCATAGACCCAGGAGATAAGAACCTAAATGTACATTGGGATGAATTTATCAATACAGGTGCACTGGACAGAAATTTTGGATTCAGTGTGCTGGCTTAAGCTACTAGGGTTTGTTCTGTGTGTCTGTTTGGTTGGCTGGAACGAAAGCAGTCTCCCTAAATGCAACAGAGATGCCCAAAGCCCCCTGATATGATGTAGAAGAAAGAATCCAAAGCCTCAGGAAGATTCGCTCATTCACTGAAATCCAACATTGGACTGAGTTCATCAGGCAACTCACCCAGAGATACTCCCTTTATCATCATTTAGAAGTTCACTGCTGAGGACATCATCTTTAAAAAGTGAGGCTATTTCTTTCTTTCTTTTTTTTTTTAATGTCTTATTTATTTCTAGGAGAGAGAGAGACAGCGTGAGCAGGGGAGGGTCAGAGAGAGAGGGAATGACAGACTCTGAAACAGGCTCCAGGCTCTGAGCTGGCAGTCAGCACAGAGCCCGACGCGGGGCTGGAACCCACGAACCGCGAGATCATGACCTAAGCGAAAGTCAGACGCTTAACCCACTAAGCCACCCAGGCGCCCCAAAGTGAGGCTATTTCTATATAAGGTCACATTGTGAGGTATGAGGCTTAGGTCTTCAATGCATGAAATGTTTTGTGGGGGGACACAATCCAACCTTTACTTAACAAGCACCATAGTCACTGTCCTCCATGGGTCAGGGATTCCAACCAGAGACACTGTAATTGAGATGACTCCTTGATTTCAAGGGAGATACTAGGACCCCGGGCACCAAGAGGCAAGTAGCAGCCTTGAGCTGCCAGAGGAGAGGTACAGAGACCATGGCACGCAAGAGGACTTACTGGTAATCTGAATGGCCTGGTCTGAAAACATCTTTGCCAGGATCCTCAGGCCTCTAGGACCAAAACTGACAGGGAGGCCCATAGAGTCGTCCTTTTGTGTGTAACAAAAGGACTGATGGTCAGACCAACAGAAACCTGCCAGCAACAGAGAGGATTTTCTTTTCTCCAATGTTCTAGGTAAAATTAGTTCATAAACTCAGGGGCCCCTGAAGGAAGTAGGGTGGGTGCCCTTTAAGGAAGGAGGGCCCTGTGCAAATGGCACAGGTCATGCTGACACTTTCTTCACAGTCCTTCCCAAAGGGTCTTGTGGCCATTAACCAGGATGTAGCAGTCACTAGTTCTAGTCTACCCCAAAGCCATTTTTCTTCTTTTTTTTGTTGTTTGATTTATTTATTTTTGAGAGAGACAGAGCAGGGGAGGGGCAGAGACAGGGAGATAGAGAATCCCAAGATGGTTCTATGCTGTTGGCAAAGAGCCCGACTTGGGGCTGGAACTCACAAACTGTGAAATCATGACCTGAGCCGAAATCAAGAGTCAATGGGTTTAACCCACTGAGCCACCTAGGTTCCTCCATTTTCTTTTTTTAAAATGTTCCATGTGGAGCTCAAACTCATGACCCCAAGGTCAAGAGTCACATGTTCCCCATCTTTCACTTTTAATAAAATAATTTTGTTCTTGGGGCACCTGGGTGGCTCAGTTGGTTAAGCATCTGACTTCAGCTCAGGTCATGAACTCACCATTTGTGAGTTCGAGCCCCACATCAGGCTCTGTGCTGACAGCTCAGAACCTGGAGCCTGTTTCAGATTCTGTGTTTCATTCTCTCTGCCCCTCCCCTGCTCTCTCTGTCTCTCAAAAATAAATAAATGTCAAAAAACAAACAAACAAACAAACAAATTTTTTTTAAAAGTTTTGTTCAGGGGCGCCTGGGTGGCTTAGTCGGTTAAGCATCCGACTTTTGCTTAGGTCGTGATCTCACGGTTCGTGGGTTCGAGCCCCGCGTCGGGCTCTGTGCTGATTGCCAGCTCAGAGCCTGGAGCCTGTTTCGGAGTCTGTGACTCCCTCTCTCTCTGACCCTCCCCTGCTCATGCTGTCTCTCTCTCTCTCTCTCTCTCTCTCTCTCTCTCCTCTCTCTCCTAGAAATAAATAAAACATTAAAAAAAAAAAAAGTTTTGTTCAGGGGTGCCCGGATGGCTCAGTCAATTAAGCATCTACCTTGATTTCAGCTCAGGTCATGATCTCACAATTCATGAGATCGGGCCCTACACGGGCTTTGCACTAACAGCACAGAGCCTGCTTGGGATTCTCTCTCTCTCCATCTCTCTCTCTCTCTGCCCCTCCTCCACTCATGCTCTCTCTCCCCCTCTCAAAATAACATAAATAAATAACTTTAAAAAGAATGCTTTTGCTCAAACAACAATGTGTCCAGCCCCATACATGATTGGTTTAAGCCATACATGCCAACACTCCGCTTTGCTGGTGATAACTGTGTTTTAATTTATTAATATATAGTATATAATTGTTATATTATAAATATAATTAAATATTACTGAAACCTATGTCTTTGCAACATTTCTTTCTACTCAAATACCCTCTGATCCTAACATCCAATCATCGCCATTGTTTTGTAGCAATCCAAAATGCTAAAAATTTTTCTATATGACAGTATATAATTGCTCTAAGTTGTGGTAGAACATTGGATCTGAAGAAAAATTCTCATAGTGTTAAATCTCATTCCTTCTGCTGTTGCTTTGCTGCTAAAAATCTTTAACACCTTCTTCCAAAACTGCTGAGGCCTCAGGTCAGGTGTCTACCCAGGGGCTTAGTGCCCAGAGATGGGTGAAGACAGACAGACCATCAAGCTGTATCCTAATCTCACCTTCCAGGAAGACCGCTGCAGCTGAAATCCCTCTGAACTCGGGGACAGTGCCCAGGGGTTTCTGTTATCCATCGTGACACAGCTGGGTAAGGCACAGCCATAACTGTTGGCAACACCAAACCACTCAGAAACAGCCCAGCCACGGTCGCCTCCACCCTGACACACTGGGAGAGGTGCAGATGGGCACCCAGCCATGTCCAGCCCTATCATGTCCACCGAGGAGCAGCCCTGCCTTCCCAACAGCCCAGCCCCAGGGCAGCAAGCATGGAAAGTCCAGTGATTTTCTGGGGCACAAGAAAGGGACAAACCCTCCCCTTGTCTAATCGTCTCCAATCCAGAAGTGACAAAATACAACAGAACTAGCCAACAAGCCCCCACCCACAGCCTCATGCAGGCCTTCCATCCATCCTCCATCCAGCCCCTGGTGCCCCTTCCCAAGGATGCTGACAGTTGAGATCCATAGTTTGCCCTCAATAGCGCTCCACTCCAAATGCCCCCTCGCACATCTGCTTCCAGCTCAGGGATGAGCACCCAGAACCCAAGTTTGGCCCAGAGAAAATTCAGCCCTGTCCCTGCCCATGTGCACCAGGCCCAGAGCTCACTCTAGGGCAAGACAGTTTCCTCTCCCGAGAGGGGTTGGCATGGAGGTGGGAGCTGGACCAAGGATCCCAACACAGACGTACGAGACTGCAACATGGGAGTGTGCGGAGCCAGCTGGAAATACCTCACAAATGGGGAGATGGCCACAAGAGACAGCCTTAGATTCTTATATTTTTTATTCTTATTCTTTTTAAAGTAAACTCTAGGCTCAACATGGGGCTCGAACTCATGACCCTGAGATCAAGAGCTGCACGCTCTACTGACTGAGCCAGCCAGGTGCCCCAGTCGTTTTTTTTTTTTTTTAATTTAATAAAGTATTTATTGCAAAGAATGCTGGACACAGTGTGATGTGTGGCTGAGATCCAACAACACCCATTCTGCAGAGAAAGGGAAACCGTCTTCATCACAAGCACATCCACCATCATGAATAGAACCCAGTGGCCAACCCAGTGGCTTGCTGACCATGCAGAGACCCCTCCAGGGCAGAGGCAGAGAGGAGAGGCCCTGACCCACGCCATGCCTCCAGGCTTCCTTCTGCCTTATCCCAGGCCTTGTGACACTGCAGGTCCAGCAGCTCTTGACTGCCCTCTGGGCACAGAGGAAAGGCCTCATTGGTGGTGCCTCAGCCAGCCTGAGGTCCTGGAGAGGTGGGGATATCCAGATGTAAGTGCCGCTAACCAAAGAGACCCACTACGGCCACAAAGTGTGTCCAAGTGACCAAGTCACCAAAACTCTGCAGTCCCAAAGGTAGTGGCATGGTGCTCTGGTCCTGGGTCCAGGGCTTGGGGCTCTGGCAGAAGGTAAGTCCAGAAGATCCTGCCCCAGCCCTCCACCGTGTCTGTCCACAGCCACTGCAGCATCCAAAGCTGAGAGACCACCAGCTGGGGCAGGGACACACACTTCCCTCAGGGGCAGGTGGCGCCTGCAGGATGCAAAGCCCCAGGAGGCTGGGAAAGGTGAGTTGTTCTGCCAGGGAACCTTCTGGGTACAAGGTGGGCTTGGGATCCTGGGTCCTGTGCAAGGCAGAGTGTCCGACTACAGATCCAGACACCTCCTCACCCAACCTCACAACTTGCTGGCCAGGCCTCCTGCCCAGCTATACAATGGAGCCCAAACCCATTGCCCAGCCTGCCTCTCTGGGCCCAAAAGAATGCACGGGCATGACAGATGGTAGCCTTCCGAGGTCGCTTTCTGCCAGGTTTCCGTGCACGTGAATCAAAAGCTGTGATATGGCTGGGAAAATCCTCCCATGGACAGGGTACCTCAGGCTTCCGCCCTTTCCCTGGCTCAGTCCCACTTGTGGAGGTCAATGAACGCCAGGATGGGCTTTTTTTCTCGGAATCGTTCACAGCAAATGCACGTCTTGGCCACCGGGGCACACTCTTGTGTGGACACAGGCGGCAACGTGCGAGAGGTAGCCTAGCAGGCAAGGCCAGGAGGGAAGATGGGACAGCAGCCCTTCCCTTGAGCACTTGGGTGTGCACTGGGAAGAACTCACACAACCGCCCTGTCTTTGCGTGCTTTCGTTGCGCAACAGGTGGGCAGGGGTGGCCTTGGCCACCAGCTCTCACCAGTGTTCCAGTGTGTGCACAACTGAGAAGTGGTGATCACAAAGGCCGTGCTTCCTGTGTGTTCTGTGCATCATGTGGTGTTGAAGTGAGCACACTGCTCTCACAAGTGGCCTAGCCAGTGAAGGTGCCTGTCTTGGTGACTCTACAGGTCCAGGCAGGGCAAGATGGGAAGAGCTCTCCCTCTCATCCAAGGCAGTGGAGCTCAGGCCACCATGAAGTCATTGCCTCTGGCTCAGGAAGCGGCCATAGAGGAGATAGCCGAGTCCCTGGGGCCCCCAGGTCCACCTCAGACAGCTTGGCCCTGATGGGATCACCACAGCAAGTGCTTTCTGTTCCATGTTTAGGGTTTCACACTTCACAAAGCCAACCGACTGGTGAGAGGACACCTCATAGCTGCAACAGAAGGCCGGGTTGCTAGGAAACTTCTCACCAGCCCAGGGCAGACCCAGTCTGGCCAAATGATTCTTAGCAGCAGGTCGGGCACCACATATAACCCTGTTGCCATTAACAAGGAAGCAGGTGGGCTGGTGCGGGGGCTCTGGGCGCCACCAGCCAGGTGTGGCATTGAGGATGTTCCAGCATAGAAACGGTCACATGGACCAGGGGGCCTGTAATGACCTCATCTGCAGAGATCAGTACCTGCCTGGGGATCACAGTGGATGAGACATGGTCACTGGTGAGCAGGGACCGTGACCAGGGCTTCCTCTGGAGGCCTCGAGATATCTACATTCTGCAAAACAAACAACACAGAATATTCACCCTGTGATGAGAACAGATACACATCCACTGTCCTTCTGCCTACTTTCCTCATCACTGTGCACCCTTGGGGTCACATACTCAACCCCCAGGCTGCAGCCAGGCCTCCACTCTCCAAATTTCCCTAAGAGCAAGGGCCCAAGAGCCTCTCAACATAGGGTGGGTGGACAAACACAAAGGTTCAAAAGCAGGGGCGGAAGATGCCCCCGGTTCCTGCTTCCTGCTTGCACACAGACCAGGCATCACCCAGAGTGAAGCCATCTCCACCTCCTGCCCCAGGCCTGAGTCAACCAGGAGGGAACAGCTGGCTTGCATTCTCACCACTGGGGGTGGTGACTGGCAGGCAAGGGGACTGGCTCCTGGGGGTGCCCTCCTCCTGGCTCTAAGTGTCGGTGGACAGGTATCAGATGCAGCCCCAGCAGATGCAGACATCTCCTAGTCTGCAGCCTGCTCTGTCCTCTCAGAGGTGGGGCGCAGGGTTCCCCAGACCTCCTAAAGCCCTCAACTACAGATGGGCCCTGCCAAACCACAAAGTCTGCTTCCTTCCACAGCCTGCTAGGCTCAGGAGTAAGGAATAGAGAGCCTGACACCTTTTTCCTCAGCTCCCTGAGATGGTCCTCTGGAACCCCAAATCCTGGTGGCCCATGTTCTTGATTGGGGTCCCTTGCAACCATCAGCTACTGCAGCAGGTCATGTTGGGCCATAGCCCTGTGTGATATGACATGCCCAGATCTGCAGGGAGGAAGACATGGCTCCCACGGGCACACCTCTGCGTGCCCTGAACCAGACACTGGAATTGGAGGGGTAGGTGTAATTCTCATGGTGGGTGGGGCAGGCTTCTTGAGGACCCCCTTTCCCATTACATTCCCAAGAATGGGCTAGGACCCAGGGATCCTGCCACCTGAAAGGAAACCAGCCAGGAACCTGTGGCCAGCAGGAGGTTGCCTCTCGAAAGCCAGCATGCAGAGGTGGGCAAGGTGGCTGCCACCTACCCTATGGCCATGCCGGCTCCTGCCCCATAGATCCAGGTGTCAGCCCCCAGTGTTGCTCCCGGGTCCAGGGGCTTCTCTTACCATCATCGACCATCACCCTGTCAGTCAGTGCTGGGGCCCAGTGCCTTCTGGGCTTTCCTCTGCACAAAGAGTGCTTGTTAGGACATGCCTTCTCCTGGGACCTGTGGGTGCCAAACTAGGCCTGGGGCATACTCTCAGGACAAATAGGGAAGTGGCCTGCTTGGTAGATGGTCCAGTGACGGGCAGCAGCCTTAAGAACATGCACACATCTCCACCAGTGGGGTTCAAGGCCAAGGGGCTGCAGGTGAGCAGCCCAAGGCTTGCACCTTTGACAGGGACCCAGAGTCCCCCATGTTCCACTGTAGGTGGCAGCAGGCACAACGGAGGCCCCAGGAGCCTTCTTGCTGCAGTAGACCGTGTGAACGGGGTCCAGAAGGGCTACTCCAGCCCTTGGCCTCAGTGAAAGACAGACCTCATGTGAGCATAGAAAGTGGTTCTGGGTAAAACTCCGAGGAGCTTCTATCTTAAACAAGGCACTGGGGGAACACAGGGTAGTGAACTGTTCTTCTGCATGACAGTCTCTGTCTAGCGCCAACACCCTCTCAGCACCTGCATGGCCCTTTCTGCAACAAAGCACAATGCCACTTTAATTGTTAAAGGTGCTCAAGTTGGAAAAGATCCTTGTGAGTCCTGAGCTGGTAGGGGAAGACGGAAGAATCCCCACCTGCCCCCTCAGAGGGCCTCTTGCTTCTTTCCTCACTGGGATCCTCCTCCCCCTGGCTCAGCGGGCTATGGTAGGGCTGCTGGGAAGCCACCACACCCAGGCTCAGGCACTTCCTAGCCTGGGGGCCCAACTCCAGGGGTTTCTCCACCCCCCCCTCCCCCCCCCACCCCCGGAGGCCTAGCCCAGAGCCATGACCTCGCCCTGGTGACAAGACTACAGTAGCTTTGACAGAGAACTCAAGCTCACTCTGGCAGACACCCCAGTTGGCTCTGGGCCTTGAAGATGCTGGGCCTGGATACCCCCAGGAATATGCTCGCCATCCCAGCAGTAACCCCATTGCTACCTGAGGCCTGTCCCGGTGCGTGTTCACAGCCATCACGTTCAGGAATATTGACTCCACTTTACAACCTGCCAAAGGAAAGATGGAAATCCATTTCCCCTCCTGGAAGGCCTCTAGAGCCACAGAGGGGAGAAACTTCTCTCAGGTGGAGGCCTGGGGTATTATAGAATAGAGCAGCCATTCTCTGCCTCGTCCTGGTCCTCTACTTTAGGCAGCTCTGTGGAGCATGTGAGGAAGGATGAGGTACCCAGTTGGGCCCACACGTGCCACAGCACAGCCTTGGTGAGGAGCCCAGACACCCAGGCAGGGCTACACCAAGGACCCAAGCCACCCACTGCTAGGGCTGAGGACAATCAAAGGAGTGGCAGGCCTGAGCTCGCTGTGGAGTCAACAGTGAGTCTTCAGAGCCCCCATACCACGCCCACCCCAAGCATGCTACAAACACAAGCCCAACAGGCCAGGTGCTCAGCGTAATGGGGGATGAAGGGATGAGCACACACAGAAATGACATCAGCTGCCACTAGGCTTTATGGTCATTCTCCCAACGACACAGTCACGTGAGGGGTGCCTCATAGCTTGCGTTGAAGGTGAGGAGCTGAGACCCAGGAACTTAGGCCCTGAACCCAGAATATTTTAAGGCCCAGGTCCTGGGGGCTCTGGGGCTTTGCAGGGATTTCAGAAAAACCAGTAGGAAAGCCCGTCATGTGGGTGGGTCAGTGGTTAAGGACCACTGGAAAGGCACCAGTGGCCACAGAAATTAAAAAAAACAAAAACAAAGCCAAAAAAACCCAACAACTAAAAATTGTAAATTGGGAGGGGTGCCTTGCTGGCTCAATTGGTAGACCATGTGACTCTTGATCTCAGGGTTGTGAGTTTGAGCCCCAGGCTGGGTGTAGAGCTTGCTTAAAAAGAAAAAAAAAAGTAAATTGGGAAAGGTAGTAAAAAAAAAAAAAAAAAAGTAAATTGGGATGGGTGGAGGAGGAATGAGTCCCTAACGTTATTTTCAAGGGATCTACAGCAAAATCATGGAACCCCGTGGAAAGCCAGCATTTGGCAATGAGGTCATAATTCAAGAAGCTTCCTTACCATAAGCCACAGGGGTCAGCTTCAGGACGGTGTGCAGCGGACACTTGAGGTAGGGCAGCTGTTCTGTGGACACAGACAGGGAGGGCTGGCACACCGGGGACACCCACGTGACAGCCCCACTGTCTCTCTCACATACACACATCCACATCCCCGGGGGCCAGGCCCGCACCTGCTGCCTTGTCCAGGAAGTAGGCCAGGAGGCAGCGCATCACAGCCTGGTGGCAGATGACCAGCACATTCTCTTGCCTCTCCAGCTCCATGATGACAGGCTCGAGCCGCTGGACCAGGTCCTCATAAGACTGCAAGGGCAAGTGGGAAGGGTTCCTCAGGCCCTGCCCCAGGGGTAGTGACAGAGACATTCTGGATAGCACGCTACCTCCTCGCTCCCAGGAGGCTCCCCATTCCAGGAAGCTGAGGCTAGGTATCCTCCAGCCTGGCCCCTGGGGCCTCTCTAGGTCAGCGAGATGTGCAGCTTGAGAGGGAAGCTGGGAGGGAAGAAAGATGGGCTGCCTGGGGAAGGGAGTGCTTCCTCCACCCCAGTGCCAGGTCCCCAGAGGACTAGAGGGCAAGGCTGGGCCTCAGACTGCCATCCTAAGGGGCCACCTCTGTGCTCACCCACAGGGCCCTGGGCTGTACCCTCTGCTGCCAGAATGGACACGCTGGCAACTGAGGACAGCCCACAGCACACAGAGTGCGCAGAAAGTGCCATGGAGGGTGGGCAGTAAAGGCTCCTAAAACTTCCTGGAGCACGACCTGTCTGCATGCCTGAGGGCCCAGGAACAATGACCCTGGCAGTCAGCTGCCCTGTGCCTCCCCTGGGCGCCGGGAGGTAGCTAATGAGGAAAACCTTGGACCAATCCCTTGGCCCTAAGGTTTAGAGATCACCAGGAGACCGAGCCCTCCTGGCACATAACGAGAAAAACAAAGGTCTCAAGCTGGGAGCTGAATGTGCCCCCACGCTCTGACTGAGAGCAATGCCCTGTAGTTCTGGAGGAATCCTAGATTAGCCCTTTTGGTAACTGTTGTTTCCCTGTTTTCTCAAGTCTGAACAGTCAGCCGCTTTCCTTCTTTTTACTGTTATCTGGGGTTAGTTTTAAATCTGAGCTCTGCCTTATAGTACGACGGAGGGAAAATAATGCTACCCAGAGCTGTGCTTTTCTTGAAGACAGTATAGCAGAGGGGCCAAGAATCTGGGATCTGGCGGGGGGGGCGGGGGGGGTACTTCCACATGTGTACGTGTATGTGTGCATCCACTCGTGTGCCTGTAGTGGTATCTTTATCGGGCCGCTGCCCTGGGTCACCTCCTGGAAGCGGGAGATACTGGAGTATCTGGGAGTATCTATTTCTGACCTGGGCCTCGGCTGTAGCAGGAGGCAGCCTGAGGGAAGGAGGCCAGAGCACATGGCTTCCCGTGGGGAAGGTCTCCCTATGTCTGCAATCAGGGGTCTGTGTCTGGAGCCACAGGGAGGGCACAATCCCTGTGATACCCCGGGGAAGGGGAAAGGCGAAGGTGGAGAACACTGGGGAGTAGGGGCCCAGAGTCTCAGAGGTGGGAGTCCCATGCGGCACGGCCCATCCACCGTCCAAGGAGGGCAGGGATTGTGTGGCCTGGGCCCCATGGCTGGGAGGTGATGGCAATGACACACCCCCCCAGCCTGGCCAAGCTCTGAGGTCAGACCCCATCTATTGCCCAAGCAGCTTCCACAGAGCACCCCTCAGTGGTCCTGGGGCAGATGGCAGGTGGCTAAGCCCCCAAATCCCACCTACCTCCCCCTTGGGGTACCGGTACCGGTACTTGTCCTGGTCCCGCAGGGCAAACTCCAGTGGATAATGATCCTGAATTTCCTCATAGGTCATTTCCTCACAGACGCCCTAGGGAGACACCGCGGTTGTCACACCTCCCATGCCAGGCCCAGGGATCAGCCCTGTGTCGGGGGGTGGGGAGGGCAGGAAGAGGGGACCAGGTTTACAGGGCATTTCCTGGGTCATAGGGGCCCTCCCAGCCTGGAACTCAGAATCCACCTGCAAAGAGCAGGCCCGCGGGAACACGGAGCAAGGGGGCAGCTTCTCATTTGTAAAGAGCTACCAGAACAGTCTTTTCTATGCATCCATTGTCCATCCAGTTAATGCCATAAAAGTAAACATAGAGGGGCGCCTGGGTGGCTCAGTCGGCTGGACGTCCGACTTCTACTCAGGTCATGATCTCATGGCTAGTGAGCTTGAGCCCCACATCGGGCTCTGTGCTGACGGCCCAGAGCCTGGAGCCTGCTTCAGATTCTATGTCTCTCTCTCTCTCTCTCTCTGCCCCTCCCCCACTCATGTTCTGTTTCTGTCTCTCTCAAAAATAAACATTAAAAAAATTTAAAATAAAAAAGAAACATTAAAAAAATAATAAACACAGAATGTTAACTATGTGTCTTTTCTTGTGTCTTTTGTTTTCTATGCTATAGAAATACTCTGGGTATGGATTGTTGTATAAAGCAAGATTTCACTTGTGTTCCTTCAGGAGACACACACACTCACACGTAGCACAGATTATCTTATACAAATGCTATTTTTTAAGGTTTATTTTTATTTCTAAGAGAGACAGAAACAGAGTGTGAGTGGGGGAGGGGCAGAGAGTGAAGGAAACAGAAGCAGGCTCCAGACTCCAAGCTATCAGCACAGAGCCTGACATGGGGCTAATCATGAGATCATAACCTGAGCTGAAGTCAGACGCTTAACTAACTGAGCCACCCAGGCGCCCCTACAAATGCAAAATCCAACAAAAAAAGAACACTGGTCGAGAACACCAAAGTGTGATTTAAGGGTATTGAGAGAGGAAGAAGTAATAAAATGCTGTAATAAAAAGCTGCTGAGGGGCACCTGAGTGGCTCAGTCAGTTCAGTGTCCAACTTCAGCTCAGGTCATGATCTCACTGTTTGTGGAATCAAGCCCCATGTTGCGCTCCAAGCTGACAGCACTGAGCCTGCTCAGGATTTTCTCTCACCCTCTCTCTCTCTGCCCCTCCCCTGCTCTCTTCTCTCTCTCTCTCTCAAAATTAACAAACTTTATTTATTTATTTATTTTATTATTATTTTTTAATGTTTTATTTATTTCTAGGAGAGAGAGAGAGAGACAGAGTGAGCAGGGGAGGGTCAGAGGGAGTCTGTAACAGGCTCCAGGCTCTGAGCTGGCAGTCAGCACAGAGTCCGATGTGGGGCTCGAACCCACGAACCGCGAGATCATGACCTAAGCGAAAGTCGGACGCTTAACTAACTAAGCCACCCAGGCGCCCCAACAAACTTTTTTTTAAAAAAGAAGAAAGATCTCAAATCAATAATCTGATCTTCCATCTAAAGATACTGGAAAAAGAAGAGCAAAGTAAACCCAAAGCAAGCAGAAGGAAGGAAGTAATAAAGATCAGAGCTGGAACTCATAGGCAGCTCAGTGAAATGTCCACTCCTGATTTCAGCTCAGGTCAGGACCTCACGGTTCATGAGTTCAAGCCCCACACTGGCAGGATGGAGCCTGCTTGGGATTCTTTCTCTCTCCCTCTCTCTCTGCCCCTCCCATATTCTGGCTCTCTCTCTCTCTCACAAAAAATAAATAAAACATTTTATTTATTTAAAAATTTTTAATGTTTATTTATGAGGGAGAGACCACACATTGTATGATTCCATTTACATAAGATATCCCCACTAGGCCAGTCCACAGAGACACAAAATAGATTAGTGGTAGCCTAGGTCTGAAGGGAGGGCTTGGAAGGAAATGGGGGGATGGGGTCAGGGTTGCTTTTTGGAGTAATGAAATGTTCTGAAATTGATTGCAATTGGTGATGGTTGCACAACTCTGTGAATATACTAAAAATCGCTGAACTGTATACTTTAGGTAGGTGAATAGGATGGTATGTGCATTATTTCTCTATAAAGCTGGTATTTTTAATTAATTAATTTATTTATTTATTCTTTTTTATTTATTTGGGAGAGAGAGAGAGAGAGCATGAGCAGGGGAGGGGCAGAGAGAAGGAGTAAGAGAACCCCAAGCAGGCTTCATGCTGTCAGCGTGGAGCCCAATGCGGGGACTGAAATCACTAACCATGAGACTGTGACCGGAACCAAAATCAGAAGTCGAACGCATAACTGACTGAGCCACCCAGGCACCTCTATAAAGCTGGTATTTGTTAAAAAGGAAAAATAAGGCCATGAATTGCGGCTTGAACTAAGAAAAAGATCCCAATGTTGAAAGAGAAGACTAGCCCAAGGCTGTTTACCAGAACCCAGGAAAAGAACAAAGATAAACATAGAAAGATAATGAACAGATCACAGAGATTAGAACAGTCTCCAAACGTGAAGGAGAAAGAAAAGAATGCTCCAGCATCTAGGAAAATAATCAGATGAACTACAACGGAAAAAAACTGGGGTGGCCCAGGGAGCCACATCTGTGTCCCTGGAGGGCAGACGCTGGCACCTAAGCTGCATCAGGGGGACAAAGAGAACGGTGGCTATGGGCCCCCCCGGGCTCCTGGCAGCCTCCACCGATGGAAGCCCCCACAAAATGGTTAAGGGAGCTCCCAGATGGGTTACAAAACGTGCTTACTCTTTTAAAGAGCTCACCAATTCTCCTCAAGCTTCCTCCTTTCACTCAGTGCATGTTTACTGAGCACCTCCCACGGGGTGAACAAAGTAAATACAATTCCTGCTCTCATGTGACTCAGAACTCTTCCCAGTGGCCAGGAACCTGGTATTGTCCTGGATGCCTGCCTTCTTCTCACCTCACCCCTCAGTTATCACTTTGGTGGTGGTGGTGTTAACAATGTTTATTTTTGAGAGAAAGAGAGTGGGCGGGGGAGGACCAGAGAGAGGGGGGTACAGAGGATCGAAGTGAGCTCTGTGCTGACAGCAGAGAGCCCGATGCGGAGCTCAAACCCACAAATTGTGAGATCACGACCTGAGCTGAGGTCAGACACTCAACCGACTAAGCCACCCAGGCGCTCCATCAGTTATCACTTCTATCACTTCACCACAGGTGCGTCCCCAGCGCCTGGTCTAGTTCCTACCACAGGGTAGGCTCGCAAAAATATGCAAGTAAATGAATAAACATCCTGCAAATCCATCCACTTCTCTCTCCTGCACTGCAGCCAGCCAAGTTCCACATGTCATCACCTTACCGGGTCGCAGCGAGCACCTATAACTGGTCTCACTTCTCCAGCTTGTCCCCCTTACCTCATTCCAACAACAAAAGCATTCGCTACACCCGCTGGGGTGACCTTTCTACAATTCAAATCTGATCTCATTACCAACTTGCACTTCAGGCAATAGTGGACTAGCTTGTTTCAGACCAACTCTCCAGGGAGAGCAACTAGAAAACCCAGACAGAAAAAAATTTCTATCTCTTTGATATTATCATAGAGCTACAGGCAGAGAGGCCACGAGAGGCCAAGGTCTTGGAGAACAGGGAAGCCCAAAGAGGCAAACCTGCTATATGGCATCATTTTGTTTCTTTGAGAGTGGCAGTTAGGGGTGCCTGGGTGGCTTGGTTGGTTAAGCATCCGGCTTTGCCTCAGATCATTATCTCGTGGTTCGTGGGTTTGAGTTCTTCATCAGGCTCAGTGCTGACAGCTTAGAGCCTGGGGCCTGCTTCAGATTCGGTATCTCCCTCTCTCTCTCTGCCTCTCCCCTGCTCACATTCTGTCTCTCTCTCTCAAAAATAAATAATAAAACATCTTTAAAAATTAAATAAACAAAGAAAGAGGCAGTTAAAAGGATGAGAAGCTGGAGGGTGGGGGAGATGGGTGAAGGTGGTCACAAGGTACAAACTTCCAGTGATAAGATAAATAAGTCTTGGGGATACAACATACATCACGGTGACTATAGTTAACAACAGTCTATAGTCTCTTTGTAAGTTGCTGACAGATTAGATCTAAAAGTTCTCATCACAAGAAAAAAAATGTATAACTATGGGAGGTGACAGATGTTAACTTATTTTAGTAATCATTTGTAATATATACATATATCAAATCATCATGTTGTACACCTAAAATTACTACAATGTTGCATGGCAATTATATCTCAATAAAACCGGGGGTGGGGGGTGGGGGGAGGAGAAGCCAAGCAGGAAGTATAGGGACTGAGTGGACACAAGCCTGGCGGAGCTGGAAGCAATCTCAGGCTGAAAGGACATTAAAAAAAAAGAAGGTAGGGCCCATAAGTCTTTACATCAGAACCTTAAAGGCTATATTCTAGGAGAAGGAGGAAGACCTGGAAATTGAGTGGCCTCCACAAAGATCAAAATACAGCTTTGAGGGCGCCTGGGTAGCTCGGTTAAGCATCCGACACTTGGTTTCAGCTCAGGTCATGATCTCACGGTTTGTGAGTTCAAGCCCCAGGATGGGTTCCATGCTGACAGCACAGAGCCTGCCTAGGATTCTCTACCTCTCCCTCTCTATCTGCCCTTCTCCTGCTCACAAACGCGCACACACACACACACACACACACACACACACACACCTCCCTCTCTCTTTCAAAAATAAGTATATAAACTTTAAAAAAATGCAGCTTTGAAACTGCTCTATTTCTGAGCAGAATAAGGTAACCCACTCCACTGCCTGTTGAAAGTAAAAGTTTTTCCTCTAGAGAGAGATAACATTAACCTGAACCTAACTTATTTCCAACATTGTTCCTCCAAAATGTCCAGCTCCCAATAAAAAATTACCAGGTAGGCACTGTACCCAAAATACATGAAGAACTCCTAAGAGGCAATAAGAAAAATGTAGACAATCCCATAGGTGGAGAAAAAGAGCAGAAGACCTCACAAAAGTATCCAAGTGACCAAGAAACCTAGTAAAATTGTCATAATTAAAATAGTGTGCTTTGTGCTATTGGTACGTGAACAGATATGTAAATCATACTTAATATAAAAGTAGGTGAAATAAATCAACAGGACAAGGACAGACAGATGGTTACAGGTAAGTGAAAACTGGGGAAAAATCAGATTTAAGGCTTATGTTAGAACATCAAAATAAATCCTAGTTGGTCTAGATAGTTAAATTAAAAGGGAAGGAAGGAAAGAGGGAGGGAGGAATCAAAACCCTAAGAAATGAAGACAGGTTAAGGAGAAAGCTCTCTCTAACTCTCAACACTGTCACCAGGGCCCCCAGGCAGCAGAGGAGGGGAGAGATGGGGATTACCGCATCGATCTCGTTGAGGACCTTCCACTGTTCATAAGGCACACCCAGGGCCTCGGCTGTCTGGATTGTCCTCTTCATCTGGCTCGTCCAGACCTTCAGGTCCTTGATGTTCTGGTCACGGATGAACTGGGCCAGACTCTTGGCAAACTGAAATGCATCATAAGCAAATTCAGACTCACAGATCCATGGCTCTGCCAGACCATGAAGCCACAGGGCACATGGCATCGTGCCCAGCCGCCAAGAACACAGAGAACTAACCTCTTGGGAATACCCACACCATCAAGTGCTGTTTTTATGCATTCTTTCCAGACCCTCCGTGTAGTTCCAGCTGTGGATCATTATGTCCCCTGCTACTGCCCACCTCCCATGTGGCCTAGTCCATGTAACCCCCCAACCGAGGCCTCAATATCTCCCCGAGACTGTGGTGCAGCCATCAGCTGCACTGTAGGGACTTGGGTTGCTTTCATAGTGGCATGCCTCTCCAGAGAAAGGGGCTCAGCTGGTGACAGCTCACAAGGAAGCCACAGATCCAAGCTTGGTGCTTGGTGACTTACCCTAAATGACAGGAACATTCCAGACTGAATGAAGGTCATCCACCTTGATGACACATTAGCTACAAGAGCTGGAGCCCAGGCCCATTAGACACACACATGAATGGATCCAGCTGCCCAGAGGTACCAACCCATAGCACCCACCACCACCCTAATATGTGAGCACATGTACACACGCACGTGCACACACGCACACACACACTGACCTCCCTGCCCCGAGGGGACAGTCCCGGGTCCCCGCCAATCCGGCCCTTGAGGTTGAGCTCACTCTCCCCATGCCGGCAGAGGTAGATGGAGCGGGGGGTCACATGGATGTTCATGAGGTAATACACGATACGGCTCTGGATGTGGTCAGCCACACGGTTCACCACATAGCTCTGTCCCACGTCCATGATTTTGATGTAGGACAGATCCCTTTCCAGAGAGAAGGTAGAGAGAGACCTCTGAGTGTTACTAGGGCCCTCGGGGGCCCATCCCGCCAGCCACAGGAACTGGCCGCAGAGCGGTGCCTTCCTGACCACCAGGCTTCAGATCAAAACACCCAGGACCATCAGCTGGTGTGTAAGTGTCGGGGGTGAGGAGGGAGTAACACAACACATGTGACATTCAGACAAACCCCGTGAGAGGTGCTCAACACTTGTCGTGTTTCCAAAAGGTGACATCCAAAGCATAGGGTCAGTCATTCACATTGTGACTCTCACCACTGCTCTGTGTCCCCAGGACCCTGCTCACCTACCTCTGAGCTCTCAACGTACAGTCTGTAAGGTGAATAAGAGACAGTTTTTTCCAGGATTGACCTGAGAGAAGCTGGCAAATACTCCTCCTCCACTCCCCTGCCAGCCACCCCTGGACCTGCCTTTCCCTCCCCCAGTGAGCCCTCCCCCTGAAACCCAGCTCAGCCTCTTCCCTCACTCTGGCTGGGCGTCACTGCAGCTGGGAGAACATTCTCTGCTTACATTTTCTGGGTGTTGGAAGGCACCAGGAAGAAAGGTGCGGTTTCTCAGGCATCATGCTCTGGCCCAGGAGCCCCTTGCATGCTCTCATCTGAGCTCTCACTCTCTGGCCCAGGGGGCCTGGCTGTAGGTTTAGGGTTGTTACACGGACACCAGCAGCAACGTCAGCTAAGCATCCAGCTTCAGCTCAGGCTATGATCTAACGGTTCATGGGTTCCAGCCCCACATTGGGCTCTGTGCTGACAGCTCAGAGCCTGAAGCCTCCTTTGGATTCTGTGTCTCCCTCTCTCTCTGCCCCCTCCCCCACTTGTGCTCTGTCTCTCTCTCAAAAATAAACGTTAAAAAAATTTTTTTAAATCAAAAAAAACCACAAAAACCCCAGCAGCAACATTAACTGAGGAATCCAATAGGAGCTGCTCCAGTTAAGCATCTAGCGCGCGGTCACATCACAGAACCAGGAGGAACACCGCGGAGCTGGAGTGGCTGGAGAAACACGAGAAACCACAAAGGAGGCCCAGGCAGTGAGTGTTTAGTGCAACTGCCCTGGGCTGGCCAAGGAGTCTCAGCCAGTGCTCTGTGAAGACCCCTGGAAGCCATCCCTCTCACAGTTGCTTGTTCCCCTTAGTTCGTACACGTCAGATGTTCTCATGTGATTATAAGTGACCCACACCCAAGTTTATATTCCAGTCTTTCACTTAATGCCGCATAACTTCCACTTTCCCATGCGTTGTCGGTATGATCTGTGATTATACAATGCTTTACCAAGGGCCACGCTGCCACTTACTTAACCACTGCCCCCACTTATGCTAGTATACAGAAGTTGGCCAACTATGGCCAACAAGTCAAATTCAGCCTACAGCCTGCGTTTGTAAATAAAGTTTTATTGGAACACATGCCCATTTATTGACACAATGTCTGTTTCCTTTGCACTACAACGGCAGGGTTAAATAGCTCAACAGACTGTATGCCCCCAAAGCCTAAAATATTTGCTATCTGACCCTTTACAGAAAAAGTTTGCTACTATAAGAACCTCAGCTGAATGCTCTTTGTGGGCCTAAAGGCTCCTCCTCATCCAACACTTATCATTCCTGGTTCTGGCTGGGTCTGCCATTCCCAAAGGAGGCAGTGGAGCTAACCAGCATGGGCCACTGCCAGTTGTTTGCAGGCAGGATCTGGGCACTCCTTCCTGCCTTCTCAAAATACAGACCGCACATGTAATATTTGCAAATGCCTGGCAGGAAGACCCGCTGCATAGAAATTAGGCTTGATTTTATAACAGAATAGCAAAAATTCTGTTTTTTAAAAAATAAGCTCTACACCCAACACAGGGTTTGAACTTATGACCCTGAGATCAAGAATCATATGGAATAACAGAAAATTCTAACTTGCAGAGCTCCAGATAAGGTAACAGGGTTCTGCACGTCACCTCTGGCCCTCAATTCTGTCTGAAGCAAAGAAACAAGGCGAGGCCATCCCTGCCTGTTGGGGTGGCCCATCAGCCATCGCCATGGGGAGTCACAAGGAGGCAGCCGAGCGGGAACCCCACCACCCACCTATCATAGCTGCAGGACACGGTGGTCTCCTCACTCACCTGTCTAGGTCCTCATCCAATGACTCGTACGAATTCTCATAGCACTCAATGCGCCTCATGAAATCCTCCGTGGCCTCATCACTATCATGGTTCACATAATCAGGGCTGCCGAGTTTTACTTGCTGCCGGACCAGGCACAGACATCACATCAGGGCTGGAGGCCAGGCAGGGCCAGAGACCAAGGAGAATGCTGGGCAGGGGGTGGGGGAAGGCAGGGCCAGAGGCCAAGGGCGAGGCTTCGGGCATAAGGCTGGAGGCCAATCCCAAGAGACTGGTCCCATTGGGAAGAGCTCAGCAGTTCCCTGGTCTTAGCTCCCATACCAGTGCCACAGAGTATTGCTGGGCACCCTAAGATCAGAGTCCCTCATTTTTGTGGCACCAGGGGAGGCGAGGCCACCTGAACCATCTTCCCAACCCCGGATATTCATTCCTTGGAAGACAGGGGGTAGGGGAGAGATCAAATCTCTTTCCCTTTTGAAATATAAACACTACCTCCTACCCCCACTCTCTACCTCCAGAGGCTGAAGCTCCTCTCCTACTGTCCAGGGAATTATGAGGGGGAAAGGGAGGGGAAGGAAAAGAAAGAGGAAAGAGCAGGAATGAATGCCCTCCGCAACACGGCCTTCCACACAAGTGGTCCTTGGGCATCTATGATCACCCCCCCACAATGTTCAAGAAGACCAAGTTAAGGATGGCCCAGAATCCAGCCCAGACCTGGAAAGGGACTTCACTGTCCCATGCTACCTCAGTTGTATTACTGCCCCCACAAGGTCAGATATACCACTCACCACGATGTTGGCGGCTATGACCTCAGGATCCACACAGATGGACTCCACAAAAAAGGTCTGCAGCAAGGACCAGGGCAGGTAGGAGAAAAGGAACCAGAGACACTCTCAGGGCCCTGGGTCTGGCTCCAGGGAGCTCCCTACCCCACTGAGGGCCACGTTGACCCAAGGGCCTTCTTCTTGGGTTGAGGGCAGGGTCAAGAAGCCCCGGACCAAAGCAGGTGCCACCCTATCCAGGACTCTCCCATCAAGACACCCACCTTCCTGAAAAGAAAATTCCAGGTGAAGAGAAAATAGCAACCCCTCGGTCCCAGATCGACTTTGGAGCCCCCCTGCCTGATGGCCAGCACATATCAGCAGGCCACAAAAGGGGCTTTGGAGGGTCCGAATGTGCCACAGCCCAACCAAGAAGGTGAACCAAAGAGGCCTCACCTTGTAGCCATTCTGTTCTCCAAAATTAAAGATGGTTGCTCTCCGTTCTCGGGTGGTATTCGTTGCATCGAAAACCTAGGACCAAACTAGGGTTAACCTGGCCTCTAGCCTGGAGAAGAGAGAAGGCCAGCCAACAGCTATAGCACAGGGACCGGATTTCTCACAGGGACCTTCTGGTGCCCAGGCCACCCGCCTGGCCCATGTCCTTTAGACCTGCAAGGGCTGGGTTGGTCCTCCCCTTCCTTGAGGAATACGCCTCGAGGAAGCTGGAAGGAGTGGGTGGCTCTGCTCCTGGCAGGGCAGCAAACCCTTGGCAAGAAGGAAGTGCTCATCACTGCCCTGCATGCAGCAGGTACTCGGTTTATGCTTGACTTGGTTCATGCTTCCTGTAAAACCAGTTACACACGGAGAGCTGAAACCCTGTTTAGTTTCGCACCATCCTCAGCCTCTACTAAAATGGGAAAAGAAGAATAAAGAGAACAGGAGAGGAGATGTTAACAAAATTTGGGTGAATGACTCAGAGAAATGGAGAAAATCAAACACAAGGCTTTGCCCACCAGAGCGCACCTACTTGCGCAGAACCAGGATAGCCGGAATCAGGACACAGGTGTCTCTGAGAAAAGGGACACGTGTGCAGAGGAAGAGGGAGGACTGCCTGGTGGTGCAGCAAAGCCCAGATTGAGTCTTAGGCCCTCTCCCCACTGCAACGAGCCAGGCTGACCCACCTGGAACTCCTCATGAACTGCCTGCGACCTGTTCACACACCCTCAGGGGTAACCCACTCACGCGCATGTCCAAGCGGCTTTTGGAGCAGGACTTTAAAAAAATTTTTTTTTTTTAACATTTATTTATTTTTAAGAGACAGAGAGAGACAGAGCATGAGCAGGGGAAGGGGTCAGAGAGAGGGAGACACAGAATCCAAAGCAGGCTCCAGCCTCCGAGCTGCCAGCACAGAGCTCGACACGGGGCTTGAACTTTTGAACTATGAGATCAAGACGTGAGTCGAAGTCAGATGCTTAACCGACTGAGCCACACAGGCGCCCCCAGAGCAGGATTTTTTTTTAAAAAGGGGATTCAACCAGGGCTCACTGGATGCTCCAGCAAAATCTCTAACATGAAAAACAAAGACTAGATAAAAAAAAGAATAAAAGGAACCTTTAGCAAAAGAAGACAGGACATAGAATAGATAGGAATGTCAGAAAACTTAACAATTGTTATCTAAAGAGAGTTACAAAATACTATAGTAACCACAAAAGAGAGTTCTAAAAACACTCAGAGAATAAGAAATTTAGAATTTAAAATATGAGCATATGGCTTTTTAAAAATTCAACCCAATGCTCATAAGATAAAGTGCTTGTTGAGAAAGCCTCCCTGAAAATAGAGCAAAAATGACAGAGATAGAAAATAAGGAGAAAAAAGATAAAATTAGGGCTCAAGCCTAGCATGGAGCCATCAGGAGTTCTAGAAAAAACAGCTCAGAAAATGGGAGCAGATGGGCAAATCACTGGCAGAAAGCGGTGGGGATGGTTTATCAAAGTAATCAATAGATGACACTTTCCCTGACCTGTTAGAGAAGAGTTTCCCATTGGAAAGGGTCACCCCAGCACCCAGCGTGGTGGTGAAGACCCACCGCAAGGCCCTAAAGTTCTCCCCAGAGAAAAGGGCATGAGCACCTCCATTTCCCTCTAAGAGATGAAACTGTTAGGAAGATCAGCACATCAGAATGCCATCAGACTTTTCCACAGCCACTCTAGAAGCCGTAACACAACAGAGCACCGTTGTGGAAATTCTAAAGGAAAAATACTTCCCTCCTACACCCAACCATCAACTGTAAGGATAAAAAAAGACATCACCAGACATACAAGGTCTCATGCAATGTCCTTCCTAAGTACCTTTCTCAGGAAGCTGCTGGAGGATGTGCTCCAACAAAACAAGTTGGTAAACAAGGAGAAAGAAGACATGGGGTCCGAGAGCAGGGCATTCAACTCGGAAGTCAGGAGAGGGGAACTCCCAGGGTGCCACAGACTGAGAAGCCAACTGATTGAAATGGAGCTGGGGGACAAAGAGCTGCGTGAGGCTGCCTCCAAGAGGAAAGAGGAAGGAAAAAGCAACTCCTGTGTCTGACTATAGCTTTCAGGTAGGATCCTTTTCAACAGACACCCTTGCTCAACTGTGTCCCACCCATCCACCTGACAGAAGGGACCAACGCACAGGGGGAGTTCCATTACCCAGGATTCAGCTGGCTCCGGGAACAGCCACTAAATATAGGCCAGGGTTCTCCGAACTCCAGGAGAAATCACATTTGCTAAAGAGTTGGTAACTCGATCCACATGTGGTGACCAACAATGTGATTATTCAGAAGGAAGTCTTACAGGATCAAATGCAACCACAAGCCCAGAGGGAAATTCCCAGCACATATCCAGCCTCTAGCTTCCTCTTATATGGTGGCTGTAGACTTCAGCCCAAGGGCTGGTGCCCAGGGGCAGCTGGGACCACTCACGACCCAGCTTCCCTTCCCCGTTCCTGATCAGCAAAGGGCTAGAGGTATATAGGTTGCCACATGTCACTCCCAGAAGTCAGCAGGGTCTTACACTCACCGCCACATGTCCCCCCTCCTCACTCAGGAACCGCCGGACATCACGGAGGGCCGCCAGGGCACACTGCCTTCAGAAGAGAAAACACAAGGTCAGCCCAGCACCCGACCCTGGCTGCAGGAGGGCAATAGGTCAGGGATACATTCTACCCCAGACCAGAGAGGGCACAGTCCCTGGGGCCCCTTCTCTTTTCCAGGTTTCTCTTTCCTTCAGGTAACTTTCAGCGCTTTTGCAAACTCTACTCCTGTAAGTGGAAGGCTATGTGTTCCGGCCACTGGGAATTTTTTTTAAATATCACTTTTCTGTGCTTTCTCTTCTCATCTCATTGTGAACAAATCCAGGCTGCCACTTTGCCATATTCATGATTTCCAATGGTCATGCATTTTCCCTGATTATCAAAACAAGCACTTTCAAAATCAGACATTCCTTGTGTGTGACTGTTAGGGGCTGGTGGTGGGGAGACAAAAGACACTATTGCTGCCCGCCGGGGCAACGTTACATTTAATATTCAATTTTCTTTCCTGGAAGAGAAAACACGTGAACTATCCTTTCTGGAGGAGGGTGCTGTGTCTTTGTCTCTTGTACCATGTCCACTGGCCCTCTGGAAGGTGAAACTTTCCCCATTGGTTACACTGCCTTGAGAAGATGTCAGCCTTTCTGTGGCAAAATATACCGCTATATATAAGGATCTTCCTGATTTTATCCATTTCTCCTATAAGGTCTACAGCTAGATAAATCATTTTGACCTTTTCTGATGTAAGAATAAAATTAGATCTTCCATTTGTTTGATCTTCAGATTTTGTGCATAAAAGGCTGAGCTGCCGGGGCCTCCCCCAGGCCGGGCCGGGCCACCATGCCCATGCACGGAGGCACAGGCCAACCAGAGAAGGAGGGAGCCTGTTGGGATCACAGGGACATTGGTGGCAGAGCTGAGTCCAGGTCACTGGAAGGAGCTATACTCCTGTGCCTCCTTGTGACCTTTCTGTGCCCCATGGGTCTTTCAATTAAAACTTCAAAGAGCTTTTGCATGCCAAAAAACCTGAATTCTGAGAGTCTGGGAAGTTGGCATTGCTGGAGCATTTCTGGCCACCTGCATTTAGAGTGCCATGCTCTGGGCTTAGATCTGTGGGCTGCTCTGGCTGAGGGAGCACCAGGTAAACCTCAGGACTCCAGGGGAGATGTGGGAGGAACAGCCTGGGAGCCTGAGCGGACGGGGGTGTGAGTGTGAAGTGGGGGCAGTCTTGTGGGACTGAGCCCTTAACCTGTGTAGGTTGATGCTAACTCCGGACAGATAGTATTAGAACTGAACTGAATTGTTAGACACACGTGCATGCGCCCATGGATGCCATATGGGCTCATGTGTAGTAGGAGACCACTGTGCCCAGTGTTAGGGACAGACATCAATGCTGTAGACTCCAGGGACCTCAACAATGCACAAGTACCTAGGCCTCTGGGAAATAAAGTCTTCTCTTCTCAGGCTTCCCACTTTAAAAAGTCTGAGTCTTGGGGCACCTGGTGGCTCAGTCAATTAAGCGTCTGACTTCAACTCAGGTCATGATCTCACGGTTCGTGGGTTCGAGCCCCATGTCGGGCTCTGTGCTGACAGCTAGCTCAGAGCCTGGAACCTGTTTCGGATTTTGCGTCTCCCTCTCTGGCCCTCCCCTGCTCATGCTGTCTGTCTCTCTCAGGAAAAAAAAAAAAAAGTCTGATTCTTCTATTTTGCCAGTTAGCTATGGGATGTTCGGGGCTGCTTATTGGGAAATGGTCCGGTAGCACAGACCTAGGCTTTAGATCCGGGAGGGAGGGCTTCGAGGAATAGGCAGAGCATGTGCCTGCAGAGAGGCACATGTGAACCTGCCCGCAGCTTCTACCGCTGGGGTCTCTGTTTCAGTTGGGTGACCCTGGACTAGCTCCCCGACCACTCCAAGGCCAGGTTTCCCCATCTCAGTTAATCCCAAACTCCTACCTTCGATGGGCAGCCTGAGCAGAATTACCGGTGAACTCTAGGAATGCCAGTTCCCTTATTCTTCCTACAAACATTTTGGATTCAGACACTCCTGGCTTCAAATTCAAACTCTGTGTGATCCTACAAATACCATTACTTTCAGACCTGGTCCCCACATCTGGGAGAGTAAGGTGCCACTACCCACTGAAGGAAGATCAGACAAGCTAGTCAGTGCCCACGGCTTGAGGATGCTGTAGAATCTGCATTTGATACGATCTCTGACCTGCTAATTGGGTAGTACTAGAAAGATGGACACAACGGTTTTTAGTAGTATATAGGCTTAGATTCAAGTCTGGGCTCCGTGAAGTAACTTGTTATCTTATATGAGACTCCTTAACCTCAGTTTCCTCATCTGTAAAATGGGAAGGGGGAGTGATAGTGGGCAAAGCATGCACCCAACACACAGCAGGAGTTCAAACACCAGTCCCCTCCCTTTTGTCAGGGTCACCAAAGGGTCCAGGCTCAAGTTTTACCCACAATTCAGCCACAGGCCTGAATGTCAGATTCCCCCACCTTCTTGGTGCGGCAGCCTGGCCCAGCCCCACAGCGAAGAGATCCTGCCCCCTGGTGGCCAGAGACAGAGCAGGCAGCCTAGTATCCAGGTCTGGGCAACAACCCAGTAGCTTCTGACCTGGAGCTGTACTTGATTTGGGGAGGTCACTAAAGCTGGGCCAACCTCTGCTAAATGCCCTACCACAATGGCTGGGCCCAGAGCAAGGCCAAGGAAGCTTCTTAAACCCTCAGCTGACATCTGTCAAAAAGAATGCAACATAGCTCCTTAGACCACCAGCTGGTGTTCCTGGTTCAAGTCTGAATGGGGCGGGGAGGGGAGGAAGTAGGATGTCATATGCAAATTCCCATCTCGTGAATAAGAGCAAGAGTGTGAAGTTTGAGCCACATGAAAGCAAAGCCACGGCCTATTCTAGACATGCGAAGAACATGCCAAGCACATGCCAACATCTTCCAAGTATACAGTTTATTCCGGGGCAAGGGAAGGAAGGCCACGGTTCTGGGCTGATCTTTCTGCTTTGTGAAAGGTGCCTAGAGGCAGTCCTGCTTCCACTCTGCCCCATCCCTAAGGCCTGTGTCTCTGCACCTCCCTCCCTACTAGAGGCCATCCCCATGGAGGGCCTGGGGTAAGCAAGTGGAGAGGTCTCTATGCCACAAGCCCCTGACCTGCCCTGGCTAAGCCCCTTCCATCTCCCTGGAGCCCCCCTTCTGCTCCCATAGGATGTCCTTATTAAGAGTTCATGAACCCCAGGGCAGAGCCAACCACCAAGAGGCCACACACCTCTCCCACTGTCCCCAAACCCAACACATCCCCAGCCCCCCCACATCCTGAGGCGTCAGGAGACCGGCTCTATCACAGCCCAGCAGGGCAGGACGAGGCCAGGGCTCAGGGGCAGCTTAGTCATGATGGGCACCTGGGCTCCAGGGCCTTCTCTGCCTTCTCTGTAAGCACACACAATCACACACACACATCACACACACATACACACATACATACATACATACACACATACACTCACTTCCTGATTTTCAGGCCCTCTTCGTTGTCTGGAAGGAAAAACTCAAATGACTTGTATGTCTTGACCATGTCCCGGCGATACTGGCCAACGTTGAATTCTGAGGGAAAGAAAGGTTCATCTTTCACATAGCAGCAGCCCTCCCCAGCTCTTGACTTTGACCCACCACAGACCAGCCTTCTCTTTTCCTCTTCTCCCTTCCCCCACAAAGCCCCAAGGCCCCTGTGGAAGCCGAGGCCAAGTCTCACCGCGGGTGGGCACGCCGATCCAGTTCAGGTAGCGAGTCAGCTTCTTGGAGATGTAGGTCTTGCCCCTGGCGGGCAGGCCTACCATGACAATGAGCGTTGGGCAGTTGGTCATGCAAACTGAAAGGCAAGGAGCCGGCATCAGACAAGAGCTGGGACCCCTCCCAGTGGGTCCCTCCCTCTGCTCCTGGCACAGGACTTCAGATGTGCCCTCCAGGCCTCCTGGCCCCAGACCATGGTCTCGAGCCACCACTGGCATGGCCCCACTGCCCAGGCCTGTCTGGCTCCAGCGGATGCGGCAGAATCTCACCAGCCCCTGATCCAGATGTGCACTGTGGCTATAAAGCTGGATGTGCCACACCCCTGAATGAATGTGCAGGACAGAGCCAAAGCCCAGAGGGTATTCAACGTGCCACCTGTCACCCAGGAATTCGCACTCCAGCCTAGTAGTCATCCAGCATTCCTACTAGCGCAATACCATGGCTTACCCTCCCTGCCTGACTCATCCTACAAAGCCCAGCTCAAAAGCTTCTTCTTCAGTGAACCCTTCCTCCGAGGCAACTCCACACTGCCCTGGCACACTCTCTCCCTCAGCCCTGGTCACCTCACCTGCTGCACTTGAGTCTGCCCACTGCACTTGATCACTTGGAACAAGAGTGGCCATGCAGTGTCTGAGCCATTCAGGATTGTGGGGTCTGACACAGAGCTGGGGCTCAAAAATTATGGGCACAGGCTGGGGGGGGGGCAGCTTCTCGAAACGCCCCAGGGTGAGCACCATGAGGGGCTGAGACCAATGTCCACAAGGACGGACCCTCTGATAGCCCATCCCCCACTATCCCACGTACCACCAGGTCAGTGTGCCAGCTAGAGAAGTTGCCGAGACTGGAGGCGGGGACGGGTCTGGACACAGCGCTCCCAAACCCTGGCCCACTAGGACAGACACCAAGACAGAAGAACTGCCAGCCTCATGTGACTCGTCTCAGCTTTCAGTGTGGCCTCGCCTTGAAAACCTGAGGAAGCTTTCCTTTCATTGTCCTCAGCAGCTGGGCCATGTGAAAGCACAGCAGACAGACTGAGGGCCCACGTGAGGACCTGTCACTGTCCCTCTTTTGCCCACATGGCTCTGCATGTGCCTTCATCTGGTAGTCCTTGGAAAGACCACTGGGCCCTACCCCTCAAGTTGTCTCCCTCACTGGAGCTGGAGCACGGAGCCCCCAGGCGCGGCCCTGTCTAGGGGTCAGGAGTCAGGCAGGTCTGGGTTCCTATCCTGACTCTGACAACCACTGGCAACTCAGACACTTGGTGTCCTCACCTGTAAAATGGGATGACGGTCCCTCACTGAGGTCTAGTACTACTACATATGAAAGCCGGAGCAGGTCTGGGAACCTGTGCCCTCGGCCCAGCCCCGGCGGCGCACCTGGCTAAGGACGCAGGGGCACCTCAGCACCGACTACCCTTTGGACTTTGTGTGCATAGGCACCTGTCTGTCTCCAGGCAGGCCCTGCAGAGAAGTAAAGGGCCCAGCTTGCCAGTCGGGGCTTCATCGCTCCTGCACATCACCGTTGGGCAAATGTGACCCAAACTGTGAGCCTCAGCTGAGGGAGGGAAGAAGAGGATCCCACGGAACACAGGCTGACAGTCAGCAAGAGTGAGCTTGCAGAAAAACCTCAGCATTGGCTAAAGAGACAGAAAAGCAAGTTAAGCAAGGCCCTGCAGCCCAAGGGCCAGTGACATGATGGCCTGTGCTGTTTGCACAATCGCCGGCCAGGGCTCTCCAGCAACCAGAGAGCAGTGAGTCAGCTACTCACTATGGGGGAAACCTGCACCCAGCCTGCTCCACTCCTTCCTGTTGCTCCTTGAAGGGCTCTCCCACAACCTCCAGGATCCCTCTTCACAGGAGATGTGAAGACACTCCTGGCCTCCTCCCCCAGTGTGGTAACAGCATCCCCTGGCCCCATGTACAGCCATGCTGGGCATGCAGGCCAGTAAACCAGGGCTGGGTGCAGAGCAAGAGCAATAAATCACCTGCCATCTCTGTTCCTCAAGATAAGCTCCCAAGGAAATGACCCAAAGAAAGATCAAAGTACAAGTGTATTCACAACAGCTCTGCTTACAGCAGCGAAACATAAGCAAGTGCTAGCAGCAGAGACTCTGCAGACTGGGGCCCATAAGAGGGAACACACGGTGACAACTTTCGGGTGGTGTCACCTCAGGGGCAGCCACAGTCCTGGAGTGGGTTCCAGAACTGATTCCTGAATTACACCTGCTCCTACTTCCTTGAGGCAGGCTGGGCAAAGGAGTACCTTTCTTTGGGGGGTAGGGGGGAGAGAACTCTTTAAAATAACGTAATCTGGTGTCACTGTCCTATTCAGAGGGGATAGAAAATCATCTTTCCTATTGTCCTGTGCACACACCAGTCGTGTCCTTAGCCAAGAAGTCTTGCTACCTGGGGCACCTGGGTGGCTCAGTTGGTTAAGCAGCTGACTTCAGCTCAGCCCTGCATCAGGCTCTGTGCTGACAGCTTAGGGCTTGGAGCCTGCTTCAGATTCTGTGTCTCCCTCTCTCTCTGTTCCTCCGCTGCTTGTGCTCTCTCTCTCTCAAAAATAAATAAAGATTTAAAAAAGAAGTCTTGCTACCTTTTTGCTGATAAAAGCTACCACAAGGGCACTTGGAAGGCTGAGTTGGTTAAGCATCCAACTCTTGATTCAGGCTCAGATCATGATCTCACAGTCCATGGGATCGAGCCCCTCTGCCCTATCCCAGTCAGGCTCTGTGCTGGGGCATGGAGCCTCCTTAAGATTCTCTCTCTCCTTCTGCCCCTCCCCCACCTGCACCTGCATATGCTCTCTCTCTCTCTCTCTCTCTCAAAAAATAAAATAGGGGCGTCTGGGTGGCTCAGTTGGTTAAGCGTCTGACTTCAGCTCAGGTCATGATCTCACAGTTCGTGGGTTCAAGCCCCGCGTCGGGCTCTGTGCTGACAGCTAGCTCAGAGCCTGGAGCCTGTCTTTGGATTCTGTGACTCCCTCTCTCTCTGACCCTCCCCTGCTCATGCCGTCTCTATCTCTCTCTCAAAAATAAATAAAACATTAAACAAATAAAATAAAATAACAGCTATCAAAAGCACTGTCCTTTTTGCTATGTTATGATTCCTTTCTTCATCCCCTGCCCCACCTGCTCGCAGAACTCCTCTAGGTCTGAGCTGAAGGGTCAATGACGAAGGTAACAACTTCCAGGCCTTCATGTGTAACTCTGAATTTTATTGAAGGAAGAATTGCTAATGGAGAGTGGGGGCAGAGGTAGCACAGCCAAGCAGCCTGTGGTGCCCTCAGGAGCCAGAGACTAGACACCAAAGCCAACCCACTACACAGCACAGACCAGCTGTGAGCCCCATATCCTCTTCTCTACAAAGCTCTGTGATCAAGTCATCTTCTACCCATCCCCCTCCCTCAGGTCCTCACCTGTCCTTGTGGTCTCCCGTCAAGTTAAGTCCACCATGTCAAGGGTAAAATGCTGCATGAACAATCTCTAGGGACTGGAGGTGCTGCCCAGACAGGTTCCATGTTCATTGCTGGCTTTCTCCCTGCTGTGAACTTGGGGACCCTCACTTGGGGCACAAACCACCACACAATCTGCAGGTCTCATCTTTGGCTTCTTGGGTGCTTCCTCCTCCAGGAAGCCCTCCTGTTCTGGACCAATCCAGAATCCCACCCACTGCAACACCCTGAGACAGTGCCAAGGCACAAATTCCTCTGCTCAGGCCAGAGCCATATTTTCATCACATCCTTGGAGCATAGAGAAACACAGGCCCCTCCCCAATGGGTCTCAACATCTTGGCCACCTGGAATGGGGGCTGGCTCAGGGCTGATGCTTCAATTCCTGACTCGGACATACAGAGAAGCAAGGTGGTGATGAAATGGCAGCACCACCTGCTGCCTCCTATCAAGCGCCTCCTCCTGAGGGGGCTCCTGGCAGCTTCTGGGTGTAGAGAGATGGCTGCCTCCATCCCACAGAAGAGGAGCCAGTGGCCAAGAGGGTCAGCTCTGTGCCCAACGTCACACAGCTGAGCTACCATGTGGCTTGAGTATTCCTGCCTCCAGAGTCCAGGTTGTGACTCCTTCCCCTTTATGTAGTACTAGCCGCCCCCCCCCCCCAATTGGGACAACGCAGCCTAATGCAGACTGGCTACAGACACAAGGGCCTTAGCCTCAGTCCCTCCATAAAAGTCTAAAAGGAGGGACAGCTAGGGTGTAGCCATAGACTTTCTGGACTGAGTACTGACTGGAAAGCCATGGCTCCGGGGCTGAGACTGACAGCCACCTCAATATCCTACCAGGACCTACATCATGGTCAGAGCCATGACCCACCAGAATGTCTGGTCAAAACCTTGACCGCCCCCGACCAGGACCCGGTACAGTAAGAGATATGCACAGCCCACCCACAGGACTCACATCTTGGTCAAAGCCAAGGCCCCCAGGCTGGCCCCAAAGCAAAACAAGCACGGAGCACTTGCCCCTCCCTTGTCATGCCCAAGCAGAGGTCAAGGTGTTCAGGGAGATCCTAGCATATCACACAATCTCCTAACCTCCAGTCTCCTAATCTCCATTTCTATATCTGTACCACAAGTTGGACTAGATGTTCTCTGAGGTCCTTGCCAACTTGCAAATTCATTATAATGTTTTGGTTAATCCTAAAAAAAAAACAAAAAACAAAAAAAAACCTTTGTTTTTCTTGGCAATAAGAGGTTGCAGACTCATTTAAAGACAAGCAGAAAGTCAGGCAAAGTGGTTTAAACACCAGGATCCCAGGAAAGGCAAGCCTGCTAACAATTCATTAACAATTCCACGGATTTCAGCACGTCTCCTGGATGTTTTCCCTTCCAACTTTACCATTCACCCACGACCTCATCTGGATGCATATACAGCCATGAGCATAAAGACAGGTCCATATGGGACAGTGTTCTCACCTTCTCCATCCTCAACACAACTGCACTTCTCTGAAATTCCTCCCAAAGCTCAGTTTTAGGCACAAAGGTGGGCAGTTAAGGCCAAGGAGCACCCTATCTCCCACTGGAGGACTGGCCCACCCCTGGGCCTTTGAAACGTCTGGACTCAGGCCAAATGATTTCCATAAGCCCAACACAGCTCAGAACCAGTCTACACTCTCTGGCCTGCAGAGAGGGCAGGAGGAAGCTCCGAATCCTCTCCGGGCCTGACCTAGTGAGTACAGAGTAGGGTGAGAAGGGGCGGGCGCCCTCCCCGAGGTGATGGCCGCCAGACCTAGCCCCTAGCGAGTGTGGACGCGGCTACATACCTGTCTCCTCCCCCTGCTCTGCCACACCTGTGCCCGGCTCCCGGTCTGTTCCTGCTCCCCTACCACCAGTCACAGGAGTCTCCTCTGTCCCTGGTTTCCCACCTGTCCCTGGCCCCCTCTCCATGGAAGACCACTGCCCAGGCCGCCCTATCCACGCATCCCGGTGCGCCGCCCTCCCCTTCCCCAAGGACCCCGCCTCACCACCGCGCTGGCAGGCGTGCAGAGCGGGTCGCCCATTGCTGTAGGGCATCCAGATCTTCTTCAAGGGGTTCTGGGTCAATTCTCGTGGGGACGCCATACCCAGGACAGGATGAGTCGGACTGCGCGGATTGCGACCTGGCAGCCAGGCCACCTCGGGCCACTCCAGGCCCCGCCCCTCGGCCCCGCCCCTCCTCGAGCTGTGCAGACGCCAATCCAACTCCCGCAGGCCCCGCCCCAGAACGAGAAGGCCCTACCCCAACTGTAGAGGGCCTGGCCTCCGACCACGCATGCCCAACTCTACTGCCAACCCGTTTTGGACCTAGCAGGCTCGCCAGCTACGCCTTGAACGAGGACGCGCGCATGCCCAACACTCCACAGCTTGTAGTCCGGGAGAGAGCGGACCCTGCTGGGAAGGCACTAGCCCGGTACACCCAACCGTATGCTCAGATACGCATTGGCCTCACCCACAGCCTCGCCTGTATAGACTTGCCCCCCAGGCACCCGGGTTCTGCTCACTGCTACCCTTGACCTCAGGTCCCCTAGGAGGGGGGGATTTGCATGCCCAGAGGCAGGGCCTGCACGACCTGCAGGTCTCAGTTGATCAGGACCTGTCTGGCGACCCCTGCTTAATCCCAGTTGTCAATAGCCTGCCAGCCCTGCGTCCGTCCTTTCTCAACTCTCTCTTGAGCCCCAGGACTCTTCCCTCGCCCACTGGAGCCACCGACTCAACCACGCGGTTAGTTTCTTGTTCCTCATGGACAGGGACACGGGACAAATCTCAAAATTGATTGTTTCCTCTTTTTACCTTGGCTACTGGGAAGCTCAGGCTAAACTCCAGCCCACCTGGAGCACATGAGCAGGACCTTTTAACCAAGCTCCCTGGCAGTATCTTACTTCTCCTTCCAGGATTTCATTTCTACCAATTAAATTTTAAATTGTAAATCTGCATATTTTTAAAACAAATCTCTGTCTCTTTATCCGGAAAATAGAATGAGGGCATCATCAACCTTACAAGATTCTGGAATTTATTAAATATGTCAATGTCTGAGAAATTCATTTTAAAGCACATTAGTGATATAATTTATATTATTTATCTCCTTCCTGTCTCTAAGACTGCAGTGGAAGCAGAGGGCAAGGGATAAATCCAGAAGTCCAGGAACCCTGGATCACTTTCCTTTGTCTCCTCAGCCCAGTTTCTCAAAGTTTTGTATAGTTTCTGTCCTGGGGCCCCCACTGACACTGGGTCACACTTCCCTCTAGTGATGTCCTCCACAAAACCCCCAGACAGGATCATGGCACCCTCAGTTTCTCTCTACCCGAAGTGTGCCCAGCCAGGAACCAGGTGCAATGGGCATGGAGAACAAGACTCCGCCCAGCACATCACAGGAGCAGCATCCCCTCCCTCTGACCTCCCTGCCACCCACTTGTCTCCATCCAGCACTTCAGAGCCTGGCAAGGGCCCTTAAGATGACTCTGATACAGATGTCTTACCCACTTCACAAGAGATGAAGGATGGGGAGGTGGAAGTCCACCTAGATCCTTCCTGAAACCAGCTCTAACTGCCTACCCCCAGGGGAATGCCCTGCCCCAGACAGTTGATCACTTCCTCCTTCATCCTCTCTCTGCAGTGTCCACCCCGCACTTCCTTCCATCTCATGCCAGGGCAGCTCTGAACACACTCATGGGTGGCTCCTGATGCCCCTTGTGACCACCCACCTGCTTCCTACTTCTCCAAAGCCACTCATTGGTTCCTGGCACAGCCAGCCTTCCCATCTGTCTCCTAGCTATTGCCAAGGCCATTCTGGGGTCACCTTGAACTCAGAGACCTTGTCACCACCCGCCCACACCCTATCCAACCCCCAGCATTCACTGCAAAGGCTATGTGCTCTAGCATCAACAGACACCCAGCACGTCCTCTGGCTTGTCCATTCTCTTCCTTACCCCTCCTGGGATGCTAGTCAAAAGTCGAGGGTAGGGGGTAGCCAGAGCAGGGCAGGATGCCAGGGCCATTTTGAGGAAGCTGTCCCCAAGTCCAGTCTGAGCCTGACTTCCCAGGAAGACCAATGACTTCCCACTCTTCCCCAAACAGTCTGACCCAGGGCTGATCCAGACACACCTTCCCAAGTCCCAACATCCAGTGGGAGGCCAGAGGTCACCAGCAGGAGGAGCCTGGGGCCCCTCCCCAAGGTCAGAGTCTACTTCTGCTCTAAGAATCTAAGAATGCTCTCCATCTCCCTGCACGTTTCTCAGGTAGGAAACTGAGGGAGGGAAGCAGGGTCCAGGGTCACAGAGCCAGCCCACAGTGCACGACAGACTGAAATGAACTCCCAGCCCTTTAAAACTTCACCTCCTACACCTTCCACATCACCACATTTCCTACCCCTACACCTGGGCTCTGGCTTGTTCCCTCCATTGAAATGCTTTTTTGGCTTTCTGCTCCTCCAGCATCAGTAGATGCCCAAGAGAACAGCTGGCCTTCATAGCTTTTCTTTCCTTGGGGCCATCCCAAAGTGACGGGGTGGAAAGTGTGCTGGGATGTCGGCGTGCACACATGTGTGAATATGTCCTGCTCAGCCTCCCCCCTCCTCTATGAACCTGCCTGGCCTGACCCTGGCTGGCTCCCATGGTGTCCTCTGCACCGACCACTGGACCTCTCTCCAGTGTCCCAGGCTACAAGCTATAGTGTGGCTGAAGTCCTCAATCCTCAGTTCTTGCTGCTCAAACTTTTCCCCATCCCTGTAACTGCTGGTCAGTCCTGGCCAGACTGTCAGCCACCCTTTGCAGCAGAAAGGCCCAGGGAGCTCAGTGAATGCCACACAGCCCCACATGCCAGTGCACGGAAGTATGCACACAGAGCCACACGTGCACACACACTAGCAAGCCCTGCACCCAGGAGCCTGCACAGAGACAGGATGGCTGCAGCAGCCCGCTGCTCTCTACTGCCTCCTTTCCCCTTTATTTCCCTCCTCCTCTGGCCTCTGCACCACTGGGAGGCTCAAGGAGTTCCCAGGAATTACAGCTTCCTCCAGCCAGTTCAAGCCCAGGATCGTCCCCAGTATCTCCTTGGGCCCAGAGCTCACAGAGGGTGTGAGGTCCCAGCTTGGGGGTATGGAGCCATGTGACCAAGCAGCCTGTGAACTGTGTGGTCTGCGCTTGCTGATTCCAGCTTGGCACAGGGCACACAGTAGGCACCCAGAGTGACTCAGAGCCAGCCAAGCCACACCATAAGGGCTTAGAGAGGTTCATGACCAGGATGGAGCACACAGTAGGTGCTTAGAGAAGCTCAGGACCCACACAGGGCACACAGT